GAGAGAGAGAGAGATGCATGCATGTCTATATATTTTGCTTTTTTACTTTTCAGAAAAAATCTTTGAGAAAAACTTATCTTTTAAAGAAACTATTATATAACAATAACGAAATCAAATATGCTAAATATATCAAAAAAGCAGATCTCCAATAAAAAGTTTAAAAGTAGTAATTGTGATTATAGATGTGTGCGCACACGCGACAAATATGTGTTATCGCAATCTTTTATCTTAAATTCTTAATACTTTAAATGTTTTTTTGTTTCCTTTTGAATAATAAATAAAAACTTTTCATAAAATATTTATGTCACATAATCCTTTGTCCTTACACATACCAATCGTTAATTCTTTTTTTTCTCGTCAAAAAAATAATCATTTTAACGATGGACATTTTTTTCGAAAAATATATTACTTTTCTTGGGTTTATAAATTCTGTTTATTTAGGGTAACTCCACTAAGAAGAAAAAATAAATTCTTCTCTTTTTTAAATTTCAAAAATTTTTTGCTACTATTGTACAGCCGTTTACATTTTTAAATAACAATTCCTGGGATTGAAACAGTTGATAGTCTGAAGTTCGAATTTGATACGATCCATTAGATAACTATCAAAATGGTCTTATAGAAACAGTAACAGTGTAAAATATCAAATGAATGAATCTAAAAAGGAATACCGTCAAAAACAAACGGATACTATAAAAAAAACAACACCAAAGAGAGACAAGTATCCATTAAAGGCAGCATTTGAAGATACATTGTCTTCTGAAAATTTATGCGTGACAAGAACTATATATTTTCAATGTCGACAATATATATTAAACTGCAGTAAAAAAGAGAGAGAAAGAGAAAGAAAAAAGTTCCTGAAACTCTATACCTATACATATAGATGCAAATTTTAACATTTGATTAATATTTCATTTGTCGTTCTCTAAATTCTTTTAACGTGTTAAATGATTATAGAATAAAGTTCTCAAGTTTTCAAGAATCTTCTGTATCTTGGGGAAAAAACTCTCCAGAAAGGGAGGAAGGGAAGGAAGAAGGAAGGGAGGAGAGGGGGAGAGAGAGAGAGAGAGAGAGAGAGAGAGAGAGAGGAGGAGGGAAGGAGGAGGAGAGAGAGAGAGAGACAGACTATCATATGACTAATAAAGGATGCCTTCCATTTGGTGATGCAAGTCGACACAAGTATCGTTCTATCTTTCTTGCAGTCAATGAGTAACAAGGGCAAAATGATACTTGTTTCGATTTGCGTTACCAAATGGAAGGCACTTGAAATGTTGATTTTAGAGGACCAACTTCATCTATCAGTTTTTCCAAAATTTAATATTTATTCCTGTTCCTAATATTTCCTCCATTGTTTGCAAGACCTTAGAATCCAAACATAATAAACAGAATAAAGAACAAAAAATTAAAAATAAAATTCGATATATAGAAATTCATATTTCAATATAGTCAAGAAATAACCAAGAAATAACCATACTTTTTCATTTCGTCGAAAATAATTTTCTGTTTCTAATACGATTTTATACGATTAAAAAGTCGTAAACTCAAGTCCACAGGTGTTCGTTTTCAATAAGAAAAAGAAAATGAAAATTTCATATTGTATAATATAAAATTTTATACTACGTATAATACGATTTCGATATTGCATAACACGTTCGCTGTCACATGCATTAAGACTCGGTTCTCTCGCAACATGGATTGTGTGGCGTCAAAGGCGAAAAATGATATGTAAAAAGTTTCTTGTGTCGTATAGCTTTATCTTGTACTTTTCTCTTAAAAACATCTTAAAAATAACTAGGATCTAGTGATCTGATAATTTCTGATAGCTAAGCGGTGTACCATTATTTCAAGATTTATTTTACACTTTTACGTGATTTATTGAACAGATATCTTTCTAGTATTTTTTACAAGTTTTAAGAATAAGAAAATATCATATTTTTAAGGGAAAAATACAAGACATAGTTATACGATGCAAGAAACTTTTTACATGTCATTTCTTGCCTCTGACGTCATAATTATGACTGCAGAGAGATAACCGAGCCCTAAAACTTTCTGTTTATGTCATTTCACAGTTTCGTCATATAAACCCTATCATAAAATATCAAAACATCAGGCATTTTATGCAATCATGTATTGTCCATGTGTATGGCTGAAGAGCCACAAAAAATAGGTCCGACAGCAAATGTGTTAATTTGGAGACCTGTTTCTTTTAAAGATCTGTTTATGTGATATTAAAATACAAAGAAACAGAACACGTGTTCTTTTTGTCTGAATTTCTTACATTATTTATCTTTTTCCTTTTTTTTTTCTAATATGAATTTCTTACAGTTTAAGTTAAAAAAAAAAAAAAAGAAAGAGAGAGAGAGATAATGGAATGAATGCTTAAAACAATCACAACAAAGGATTCAAGCTAAGATAGAACTTGAACAGAACTTGTGATAGATTTAATTTAATGATATAAAACTTTTTTTGTTTTTAAATAAATAATAACTCAACCATAGCCAAAAGTTTATAAACGAAAATTTTACGTTTTTGACAAAATTTAATTAAACGCATTAGCTTACTGCTAAAAAGTTCAGATTGAGATTGAATTGGAACTTGACCAATTCGCGGAAAAAAGTTCACTAAACTTGAGATTGATAATTTTCTTTTTACTGGTAGGAATACTGGTAGGAATAAGTTCTAATCTGACCTCAAATCCTTATCTGTGTTACATGCCGGTTTGTCACTTCTGTTTTCTACGCCGCTAATTTCATCCAGCCCAGTCTCAAAATCCGCTTCGGTTCGAGCATTAAATCTATCGATGTTTCCGCGAACGCGAATTTCGGCGCGCACCGTCGAGCTAGAAATTTTGAATGAAAACTTATACGAACAACGGCAAGAGCTCCCGAATTTTCACAATCGAAACATCCTGCCATTATACGCGAGCCTGCATCATACAACAAAGCATACATCGTATATACGAATGCAACTGGAAATATTTGTATTGCGATAATCTTGCCTCTCAGGGTTCATCGACCCGGGCGATTTGTTAGAAAATTTCGAGTGCCTTTAATGACTTTGACGTAACGATTTTACAGGCTCGAAATCATCGCTGGTGATTCGCCGTTGTTGAAATTGGCGAAATTCGATCGCAGCGGGAAAAAAACGACGAGGATGAGTCAGTGCGTCGTCCGAGAAGTCTTTTTTTTTTTTTTCGTCGCTGCACTGAAACTTTTCATTTTGCTTTCGCTAATTTCCAAAACCTTCCCTTCCTCGAAAATGAACGTCTCGAGGAATGCAGCCCGAGTACATATATATCTATATATATATATATGTATATATCTATTTCGTTTTAAGTACGAGTGTATACTAGTTCAGTTACAAAAAAGAGACCTAGATCTCGTATCGAACATGGTGGACTGTTAACCTCGCAGAGGAACATCGGCGCGAAATCCCTCAACGAGGCTGCCACTTACATTCCTGGTTCTCCGTTCCTCGCGAATTCAGTGCTGGATTGTTCAAGTTAACGTTCTCAACTTCGCAGGGATCTTCTCCTCGAACAATACCGCACCTTCCTCCTTTTCCTCCACGCGATAACCCATTCGCGACAAATCACACTCAACTAAGAGATGCGCGAGCATCCGAACGATCGGGGTAAAATGAAAAAGGGCCGCCCTGGCCATTGAACATGGCGAGGGACCAATCAGCCTTCCCCTTCTCCTCCCGTCATCCCCACAGTGCTACTTGACGTCACCTAGAGCAACGCGATTGGTCGATTAGTCCCGCGCGGAACAATGGTTCATTAGTGAGGAAGAATACGTCACATGATCCCTCTCGCGGACATATGATTGGTTGAGCTCTTCACGAACGTGCATTGCGCGATATCGCGCGAATTTTAATTGTTGACTAGCGAAAAAAGATCGATGTTAGGCTTACATTATTTAATTCACGCGGAACACATGTGTAGCAATGTCGCATTTCAATCCCTCGATTGGTTTGTATAACTTTTTATATCATATAAAAGGATCATTATAATGTATTTTAATGATAATGTATTTTAAGAATGTAAATTTGATGCCTTTTAATAATTTTACAAAATTACAATGTTTTAAGGACGAATATGTAGTTGAAATAAAAAAAAAGTTTCTCTCTATATGTTTTACTAGTTAATATAATTAAGCATTTCTAAAGATTTTTAAGACGTTTAAATCGAACATATAAGCCTCTCGAGTCTCCTTAAAATCTTCGAAAATTACAAATCAATTTTTTTTGTTTTTTAGTATCTAAGAAATAAATAAATTATGATTTGGTCATTCGATTTAAGAAAATTATTTTATCAAATACAAAGTTCCACCTTTTTCAAAAATCAAAGATATTTTAGAGTTTTCTTGTTTTCGCCAATTATGATCTATTATTACAACGACTGTATCTTTGATTCAGTAGATTACTTGCCTGTACAAATGTATTGTTGACTGAAAAAAACAAAAGTTGAAGGCGTTCTTTCATTGGTCAAAAATATTACGTCTCGCATATAATATAAAGTTTATATAATAATACAATTGCATTGATTTAATAGTTTACAGATAAATTATTTTCTAGTTGATTGATTTTATTTATTTCATCTTCCATTATTCATTAACATACATATTTTTCTTTTTTATCATTAGTATAAATATTTTTTGCCTTAATTGTTACATGAATGTTTTTTTAATCCTTCTATCTCTCTTGCGAACGATTATGACTTTTAAATTAAATTTCATTCCCTCAAAGAGCATATAAAAAAAATAAACCTTTATCTATTTGCATTTCTTCCCGGATATACTATAAGTTAAATAATTTGTTATCTAAGTACTAAAAAAATAACATTAATTATCATAATTTTATTAAAGTATGTTTTATTAAAGTATGTTTTTGTCCTAATATTATTTTAATTTTTTTATCTTTCAGGATACGAATTTTATATATATGTATATATATATATATATGAGAAAAAATCAACGGATGTATATATACATGATACAATTGGAGATTTGGCTAAATAAGAATCAGCCAACTTTTTCCAATATTAAAGGAATCAAATAAAATACTATATATTAAATTTATATTTAAGAAATCTTATTAATGTTTGTTTTTGCCAGTATAATAAAAAATGATAATATAACTTATTTCTTTTTTTTTCCATTATCTAAATTAAATAATTAAATTAAATGTTATTAAATGATACCAAATTACTGAATAAAATTCAATAAAAATTAATAAAAATCAATAAAAATTATGTGAGTTTGGTTGATTCTGGCAGCCAGGCCTACAATTGTTATTAATAAAATTTATTCGTGTGTATTGCATGATATACATTCCACATTTAAAATTTATATGATGTTTATAATTCATTATTTACAAGACATTATATATGATCAATTAAAATATAATTATTACAATAAACTCTATAAAGTAAATCAAACAACAATGAACTTGCCAATAAAAAATTTAACATCTGATCGACCAAGCTATATGCACAATAGATTGACAAGTTAAACAGTATAGATGGCAAGAGGTCCCTTGGACTTGAGCTGACTGTTTGTTGTGACCGCGTTTCTGAGCACAAGTATGACATGTATGAGTTTACCTTCTTGAGGTAATAATGGCACTTAACACTTGCATACGTATCCTATTACAATGTTAGTGGTGATACTTCTAGAACCTGCCAGAGATGCGATATAAATACAAGATTCATAACTCTAAATTGTTTTTTTCTTTTGAATTTTGCTAATATCGATAATCCGAAAGTCATAAAAAATTTTAATCTAAATTTTATCACAGTGCAGTTTCCCTCGTTTGAATCACGATTATTCTGCGAAATGTGATGGAAAATGTAAGAATATGATAAAATGCGACTGTAACCTGTATATCACGTAGTATGAGAAAAGTATAAATAAATGCAGGTGTCGCCAATTGTCTCGTATGATCGAGAGATCGTTATGTCCTATTACGATTTCCTGCTAGTTAAAAACGTGAATATTAAATAAATGTCCTCTATACTTTTTGTGTTAAAAATCGTTATCCCAACCAGAAATATCGTCGGGTGGTAATGGATCGGTATCAGCTGGATAAGTGTCGAAATTCGTAGTATCTGTAGCGCCTTGAACTCGTGGCAGTATTGGCGGTTCCAAAGTCCTCGTCTTCAACCCTTCCCAGTTAAAACCATCAAACCATCTGTGCAAAGTATCCAGAAATTAGAAATTAATCATCGATATTCTTCTGTAATCTTGAAATAAAATAGAAATATATCTACTTGTGCTTTTGTATTTCACTGATACCGCCTCTTTGATATCCAAGACGTTCCGCGGGATTATCTCTGAAAATACAGGACGATTTGTATTATTCGAGAAACATTTACTAAAAAATATGAGAGATGCTGTACATAAAAGTGTATCATAATTTACCTGCAAAGTTTTTTTATCAAAGCCATTGCGTTACGCGTGATGGATCTGGGAAAATCTATAGCGTCGATTCCTTTCAAGATAATATTATACGTCTTCATTGGGTCACCACCAGTAAAAGGAGGCGTACCCGTAAGCAATTCAAACATAAGAACACCAAGGGACCAGTAATCGGCGCTTATGTCATGACCTTTATTTAAAATGACTTCCGGTGCTACGTACTCTGGTGTACCGCAAAATGTCCATGTTTTCCTTCCATTGTCCAACCGTTTAGCAAAGCCAAAATCAACGAGTTTAACATATCTAGAAAACAATATGACAAAATATAAATTCGTTAGAATCTGTCAAATAGAATATAACATATTTGTTTCTCGATGTATTGATAACAATAATATGTAAATCATTAGATTTTTCGTCATTTTTAAATAATACATCATTATCAAATAATACATCATTATTATACATTATTATACGCATCCTTACCCTTGATTATCCAAAAGTAAATTTTCCGGTTTAAGATCTCTATAGATGATATTTCTGGAATGCAAATAATCGAATGCTTCCACGACGCATGCGGTATAAAAGCGCGTAGTACCATCGTCGAAGTGTCCCTTGTCCCTGAGGACGGTCCATAATTCACCACCCAAGCAGGCTTCCATCAACATATAAAGATACTTTCTATCTTTGAAGGTTTTGAAAAGCTTAACTACAAAATCGCAATCCGCTTCGCTCATTATCCTCTTTTCTGACATAATGTGCTGTTGCTGTCGCGTCTCGACGATTTGCGCCTTCTTCATCTGCTTCAAAGCGAACGATCGTGTACTGTCTCCGGCAATTTGAACTAATTCAACTCTTCCGAAACCACCCACGCCGAGAGTCGCGATAGTCCGAAGGTCTTGTAACCGTACATCCCGGAATTCCTCATTTAGTCTAAAGAAAACGTAAAATTTCAACATATATCTTTAAATAATACTTTAAATAAATAAAATTAGTTCGTTGTTTTATGTTAAATATATATTTGCAAATTTCAATTAAATTTATTCTTTTCGTCATTTTTTGCACTTAAAAAAGCGATTTTTTTTTATCAGAATATTGATATATCCTTTTTTTTTCGTTTTCATATAATACATCTATTTTTATCGTTAAACTTACTTGGAACGTATAGTTTATTGTCCCATCCTAATGCTAAGCGTGGAACATAATATTCATATAGAAGTATGTAATATAAAAGTATGTAATATATACATATTGTATGTGTATTTAATTTTAAATATTTTTTAATATATTAATAATTGTGATTAATAAAAATTGATAATTAACAAAAGGTCACCTCCTACGTTCCACCAACTCGTCCCTGTATCGCGTTCGGATTTCGTCCAAGGATGAGATTAATTGATTAAACGTTTCGCGGTCTATTACCAAACAGCTCACTCCTTCTGGATCGTCAGCGATAATATTAGCAGTTCTGAGATCATCTCTATAAGAATGAAATAAATTAACATATATTTAATTTTATTTAAATTTATAAAGAACTTTTTAAATTTTATTAAAAATATTAATCTTAAGGGGTTATATTTAATCAATCAAGACGGTTACAACGATGGAGGAATTTAATTAATGAAGAAAAATATTAAATAAAAGATAAATATGATAATTAATCATACTCACCCTTGTAAAGCTTTCTCACCGAAGAAATCGCCCTTTCTTAACGTTCTAATATACTTCTCTTCTGTTGTATCGGGCTGTTTTATCGTTACGCGTACTTGTCCCCTACTGATGATGAAGAATGTGTCACCTCTCGCCCCTTGCCTTATTATATAATCCCCATTGTTGTAAAATGTCTGTGAATATAAAATTAATAGTTATTATATAAATCAGAAATATACACAACACGAAAAGATATATTTTGTCAACTCTTACCTCTTCTAAAACGTCTGAAATTTTGATTAAAGTTTCCTCCGGCAGGTTTTTGAAAATTGGCACACTGAAATGTAAAATCACGCGTCGTTTCTAAATTTATGTAATGTAAGATTATTTTTAGATTTTATTAGAAGATATTTCTAACAAATTATTGTGTGCATAAAACTACTAAACTATTATTTATTTCTCTTTTGACTCTAATTCGTTTGACTTTCAGTAACAATATTGTGTAAGAAAATGAAATATTTTCTGGAACGTTGGTACATCGCATTAATTAGAATGAATGAAAAATGTGAGATATAAATTCACGTAAATTTATCGTTTAGTGTCTTAAATTATTCAAAATAGGTTGACTTCGAACTGAATCATTAAGTAAACATGGAATTTGCTATCTGTCGCAGTAACGTTATTATTAGCAATATTTTTCTTTGACAATTACGTCAATCATATAAACATAAAAATACAAAAATCTTTCGTATAGAGACACATTGTGAATTGTTGACAAATATTTCCATGATTAATTGTGGGAGTTTTTTTTGATGTCGAAATAAAAGAAAGAGTTATCTTTCCTTCTCAGAAACATGTGAAAAAACGTAACTTTTAATATATACGGCTTTAAAATTTCCCGGATTAGTCATTGTTATATTTTCAAAGCTATAATTATAGATTACAAACTCGAAATTTCATATCACTATTGCTGTTATAATACAAAATAAACAAAATTATTTGAAAAATCTTCAATATTAAGACCGTAAGAAGATATACAATTTTTGAAAATCTAAACAATTTTATTGCAAAATTTTGTTCATTTAAAACATTTATACTCGCAGACGTAACGTAACGTAAATAAAGTGTTACAATGATCAGATTAAAGTTCATCAAGATAGAAAAATATTAAGTCGTCAGAATAATAGTGTCGATTTACCTCTTTAAGAAGTCCGTGTATTCGGCCTGTCTTGACAGCCCGGTCCTCATCATAATGGTTTGGAAGCATTGCCGGTCGATGGCCCATAATTGGCAATCAGTCGCAGCAGTGATCGTCGCCGTCCTCTTGCAATTGTAAAGAATCGCGAGCTCTCCCAGTACCTTTCCGTGTTGCAAAGTGCTGAGATATTTGCCGTCCCTCGACACCTCGACTTTACCCTCTGAAAAAAAATATTTCGATCAAATGTATAATTTCTTAAATGTCATACGATGACTGTAAAAATTGATATAAGTTTGAAATTAATTTAAATACGACTGCAAAAATTTATTATGCTGCAATTATCGTTTATTTTCATGAATTTAATTGTCAATATTTGTCTTTACATTTATCACTTGAATTCTGTATTATTTTGTGTCATATACATGACGAAACGTTATTTAAAAATGTATTCGACATATAAAATAAAATTATTATTGCATTTGTTGAATTCTCTTAATTAATAACTTATATAATTATGAGAATTAAAATTATGTTTCCGTTAAATATATGCAAATATATGCTACGCAGCAGATCGGAACAAGATTCCATAAAGAAAAAATACAATTTTCTTCTCTCTCTCTCTCTCTCTCTCTCTCTCAAACCAATATTAAATTAATTATTTCAAGAATCGCGCTAATCGTCAAGTGACCATCATTTGATGAAACTGGAAATTGACACGTAAAATGGTAGCTCTTATCAAGATATATTTTTATCTCGAAAATATTCTATTTCTCACATTTGATTTCCTCGCCGAAAGTTGGAACGTGTTTCGTATATTAATGATTTTTATGACATGGCACAAGTTAGGTAACTCTCGATAGTCCAGTGACATTTCTAAATCGATCAAATCACCGCTGTTTTCGAATGTGCTCAACTCATCCGTAATATTTTGTATTAAAAAAAAAGTGATCTTTGTGAAAAGATTGCTAAATCGTAAGATTGTTAAATCAGCAAAATCGTCATCTGTTATGTACCACTTCGAATGCTATATCGCACAATATGACATTTTCTAATATCTTTTTATCGTGATAATTTTAAAATTTGCTATACATAAAATTTGCTGCAACACAGAACTTTTATATTTCTTATAATCTCTACGAAAGAATATAAAATTAATATAATTATTCTGAATATCATATCTTTATTCGGAAAGAGTTTTGTCGAAATATAAAAATTTGACCAAATGCAGATTTGAAAGTAACTTTGAGTCTAAAAAATAATTATATTATAGGATTTAAAAGTTCTTTTGCAGTATTTTCATTGTGCTTAAGCGTCTTGCACAATTTCATGACCCAATAAACTGTTTTCAGATTTATATCTGAAGTCAAAGTGTTACCTCAGTAAGATCGTTCTTATCGTGCGCCTCCATTTCCATCGTGTATAAAATATTTCGAATCGACAACGCGAGTCACGAGACACAAATTGTTTTATAAATATACAACTTCAATCGTCCATCACTTGATATAGATATTTTTTACATATTTCGGTGTTTCTTTCCGCACGATCCTCTTGCGCGAGGCGGCTCTAGGCGGGTTAATGAGTTAAATCAATCTAGGGAGGCTCCGCCGAAATTACGTGAGTAGTCCTCTTTCTTTTTCGCTTCTCTTTGTCGCTTTATCGCCGAGGCTAAATCGAGTTCGACATTGCGACAAGACGGTCCATGGCCGCGTATTGTCTCGCGAGCGTTGCTTTCACTTCCTCGCGCATAACGCCTAGTACGAGTCACACACAAGAGGTCCCCGAACCGGTTCCGTTACCGATCGTGACGATCGCACGAGACGGATCGTATCTTTCGCCTTTCGTCGAAGTTAAACCACTGAATTAAGCGGCGGCTATTAATAAGCACGCGGAGAATGCCCCGCGCCCGATGTCCCATTTGATTTTACACATCCGCCATCCGCGGCGGATTTTCCCTTCGGAAACTGACGCTCGTCCCGTCGAGCGATTTTGTAGTGTCGCGCGCGTTAAATAAATGAGTCACGAGTATTACGATACAAATGGACCGCCGTATCCTTAGCTCATCATCGGGGACCGGGGCGATTTTCTCCCGTTCTCCCGGAAGGAACGGTTTTCGCTACAGAGCGCATACAAATTTGGCCAAATGCAGATCTGAAATAATCTTATTGGACCATCGAGAGAATCCTGTAGAACGTTTAAGTGCGACAAAATATTGCAAATGCTCCGATACTCCGATCGATTAATTTGAGCATTCTACAGAATTATTCTTGATGACCTGATGATTTAGATGCTTTAGAACTATTTTTCTCGTGTACTTTTTTCTTCGCTGTAACCGAGTCGTAATGCCAAAAATTGTATTTTTTTTTCTTCGCGTTGAAGTAAATCGGTAATTTCTACAGTTCTGTAAAATGTATATAGATTGATATATCATGAATGTTTCCGTTTTATTATCTTACATCAGTAAATTCAACTTGCACGTGATTTACGCTTTTCAATGATAGTCGATCTCTAATGACCAAGTTATCGATCAAGATCTAGAATAGCTATTTATCGATTTGTGAACCGAAAAGAAAGTTTTCTCGGGAAACTCCGAAAGATCTTTAGGGGAAAAACAGTTAATCGCCTTTGATGAGAAAAAGAACGATTCTTATGGAAGTAGGTTAATATAACGCGTGCCTTTTTTTTACAAGCATCATTCTTGTTAGCGGATATTTGCGAAGTTGCATGAATTTGCATACGCGATAAGAGCACATATAATAGAAACCGATACAATCGCTTCTGTATTAACGACTACGTGTCCTAAATTCAGAACAATAGGCTTCGAGATGTGTGAATTCGCGTGTTATTTCGGCGATGGCTATCGCAAAGATACATGTCAGTTTAATTACGACTAAAGCCCACTTTAGACGATTTACAATTTGCATCAGAATTCAGAGTATTCTAATCATCACTTTCTGTAATAAAAAAAAATACATTAAAGATAAGATATATATATGCATATGTATAAAATAATATATAAATTTTTATTCTAAAATAATGATGTAAATTGCAGATCATCTACAATCAGCTTTGATAACATATTTTGTATGGGTGAAAGAAGCTAGCTTTGTTAAATGTGACTGTCTAATAATTTGACCAGATGTAGATCTAAAAATCTAATTTTATTTTTCATCAAAATAATTATATAGAGCGCTCAAATTGGTTGCTGGAATACTATGAAAATTATCTGACCAAATTTTTATATGCTTTAATTGTTTCTTCCGTTTGATACATTTGTGTGATAAGCGTATTCAGCATTGTGCCATTTTTTTTTTTTTTTTCGACTTCGATTAAGCACGAATTTGAAATGAGATCAAAATTTCTTGATTAATACAACGCAAAATTGTGGTAAAATTTAATAAATATGCAGATTTAATGGAAATTACAGAATCACCTGTGTGGAGTGCGTAACTGTAAGAAAGCCTAGAAAACTCAGAAAATGTTAGTGGTGCTCGCGTGCGCGTATCGCCATTACGAACTTTGGAAAGTGTGCATAATTGCAATGCTAATGAAGAAATAAACGTGGGGATTTTGGCGATGAATTGCGTGACGCGAAATAACTCCGGATGGAGGAGCTGCTAGCGATTAAGCCGCGGATAGTTCACGAACGATTACACCGATTCTCTCGTAATTACAAAATATTATGATAAAATTTAAATAATTAAAGATAAGGAGAGTCAAGTAGGAGATTCACATGCGTATGCATAAATGTATAAGTAGAATTGGCGAAGTTGAAATATCCCGCTAATGTTCGATATATCAAATGTTCAATAAATATTTTTCATAAATTTACCATGATTGAAGATGAACATTCTAGATTCTTCGTCGACCGCGTCGTACGAAAAAAGTTGAAAAAAATAAACTCGACAAATAACACCTACCTCATTAATTTCGGTTATCTTGCATAAAGATAAATGATACTTATGTATGATTTGCGCAATGAGAATCTTTCGAATTCAATGTTACGAGAATGGAAATGTCCAAGTTTCAACAAGTCGAAGTCGAATATCAAAGTCATTCTTCTCGTTTTCTGCATGACTACTCCGTGATTTGATCTCTTCGAATAATGCACATCGGTATTCATAGCGTATACTTATATAATTATGTAACTATGCTGCGAAAGTCGAGAGACTTCGTTGTCCTTCGCTCGCTTTTTATCACTTTCGCAAGAGCATAAAACAAAACGGCCGGTCGATCGCCGTGATGCGTTTCGAAAAAAATAAAAGTCATGCGCATTCCCTCGTATGGTGTCTCGCCTGTGTCAGAACACGTATGTTTCTGATGTGTCATCATATCGCTTCACCAAAACAACCGATTATGCGCACCATTTGTTTAGCAAATATTTAACGCTACGCCGAATGCATTGACATATTTTATAATCAAATCGCCGGTCTCTCGAATAGCCGTATCGCGTTAATTATTGTAAACGTTTTAGATTATCTCGGCGTTAGTTCACCGATATCGCGACATCGGCTGTACAAATTAATACGATCAAAGAAATTTCAATAACAAAGGTATTTTCACATCCATCGTCATCACATCGTATCTTAATGTATTCATTTCTACTAATTTAGATTAATTTTAATCTTGGTATTTAATTTACTTTTTATCTTTTTTTTTTTTACTTTCGAGAAATAGAAAAAGGGAAAAAAATAAATTAAACAGTTAATCTACATTGATAAAAATAGAGACATTAAAAAGATTAGATTCTTCTTCAGGTTCTCCTTTCAAGATATCTTTATCTCATTGGGATCTCCTGGAGTATACAAAACGATATCAGTAATACACGTGTAAAGATCAACATGAAGATATCACGAAGATATCAATTTATCGTAAAAATCATTGCGTAATGAAATCTAATATATATGCTATATACGGCTTCGCACACTTCCCTCGAACTACAGGAGCAAAAGACGTGCCACAAAGATGAAACGAAAAAGCTCCGTTATCTTCGCGTAATCGGTCTCGCTTCTACGGTAGATCGTACACTCTTGCAAAGTCTCGATTTTTTCACACCTCGCAATATGCTCGCGAATGCGAATCACCGTGCACATGACGCTCGCAATCGTT